TAGTTTTAACTTATGTAACACCATTTTCAGATACACAAGAATATTGTACTATTTTTTCTTTGCTAGGGTCTTGTCCCACTAGGTTTTTCCTAATAAGATTTTAACAAGGCCTATTCTTAGTGTTGTATAATGAACATCAAAAGAGAGTGTTATATATAATTATACTATCCACTAATTATGTGAATGGTGGTGAACTAATTTGTGTACTGTGTAAGTAGTGGACATGAGTGGACTAATTTGTGCACTATATAACTGGTGGACGTGAATGGTGCATTATGTATGGTAGATGGGCAAGAGCTTTGGCCATAAATAGGTTCCTTCTTACTATGTAAATGTATCCTTGAACAAGAGAAATACTACTTAATAGTTACTCTCTTTCTTTCTCAATTTGTGGTTTTGAATTGTGTTTTAGATTTTCTCTATATTTGTAATAGGATTCATGTTGTACTTAAATCAAAAAATTATAATATATATATATATTTGGGAACTTAAAAAAAGGATTTAGGACAACCACGCTTTGTCAAAGGATGAGTCCTTTCCAATTGGCATCTCTAATGGCTGTTTCCATAGAATAATCTAGTGCTGTCGGAGCCGGTTCAGACTCGGTCTAACCAATGACAACCATCCACATGGATGATCATGTGCATCTCTCACGTGATTTATTACCGTGCGTGTATTCTATCCTACCCAGGAAGTTTTATTTGGATGACCCAAAATTAATTATAAAATGGTTAATTTCTAAAAAGTCCCATTACGTTCAAAAATGACCATTAAACCCTCGTCATCAGTTGGATAAAAATCCCCCAACAATGTTAAAAAGTTATTACATTAGCCCAATATTCGAGTCTAACTTGTTAATTGGACTGTAAAATAACATATTTGACCTTATCATTTAATATTAAATTAAAAATAAAAAATTCATACTTTTTAAATTACAAAAATACCCTCTCTTTTTTCTCAATCTCCAAAACCCCATCAACCATGCTTCATCACTACCACTGCTCACCGCTTTTCTCACTACCGACGTCGTTGTCTCATCGACCGATCGATCCAACCAACATCAAACATAGAACGAGTATGAGGGTGTGTATATGTATGATGTATATACACAACCATATAACAAAGCAAAAAAGACCCAATTGGAAAATGGTAGAAAAAACAACTGGGTCGAAAGATGAAATGAGAATTAGATGTACCAGCACGAAATTGTTGTCGCAACCATGCTTCTTTGGATTCAAATTGTCGTCGCGAATGGTGATTGTAGCAGAATAGTTGAAGATGACTACAATCACTGCATAACGTCCATTGAAGCCGACGAAGCTTTGTTTGTGCATCTCCATTGAATTCGGGAAGCATTTGTCAGCGCCGAGTTTGGTTACGCATGGTGTTGTTGTTGGGTTTCAATTAGGTTTTGTAGACAAGCCAAATTGATGATGGTGGTGGTGTTGGTGTTGGGTAAGATTAAGGCTCTGCAAATTGTCCGCGATGATGATGATGGCTTGATTTGGGGTTCCTCTTGGGTGCGATTGGGTTCATCGTGGATCCGATTGGGTGGTGATGATGGTGGTAAAAATAGTGGCGGTGGTGGTGATATAGAGAGAGAGAGAGAACGGACTGCTCCGGCGATGGCTTCCTTCATCAAAACGGTGAAATCCCAATATCTCCTAAATCGGACAAATCGGCGAAGATTCAGCAACCAAACCGGCAAGGATTTTTAGCAACTCAACCGGCGATACGTCCAATTGGAAATGCCAGACTCTAACCCACTTCCCGGCTCTCGCTGGACGTCTGACAACAACGCCAGCGTCGACTTCATTCACGCCAATGCCTCCCACATTTCCCTCCGGGACATTCTCTTTCCCACCCACGTGCCAGAGTGTGACGGAGCTCGCCGACGGCGTCTTCGTTGGTTGCACCGTCAATCACGCCGTCACCGACGGGACATCGTTTTGGAACTTCTTCAATACATTCGCAGAGGTCTGTTATGTTTGTATGTATAAACTTTTACTCGCCTTGAAATTGGATCCAAAGGACCAAAACACACCAACCCAGTACTCAAACGAAGCTCTTCATTTCAACTGTTGATGAGAAAGAACAGATACCCAATAAAGCTAACACTTTCAATGGAAATGGAATCGGAACGATTACAGTACTGGAATTTAGAGAGGGGAATTTTTGTAATTTAAAAAATATTAATTTTTTATTTTTAATTTAACCTTAAATGATAAGGTCAAATTTGTCATTTCATAGTCCGGTTAAAGGTTAGGTCAATGTGATAACTTTTTTATATTGGTGGGATTTTTTTCAAACTGGTAGGAATTTAATGATCATTTTTTGAAAATAGGGCGGATTTTTAGAAATTAACCCATTATAAAATATAAACTTTAAAATAAATAAATTTATGCTATAATTTTATTTACAATGAGTCTCAGTATAGATTTCTACTTTAAAAAATATATATAGATTTGTTTTGAAAGAAAGTTCTTAACATAAATTTATAATACCAATAAAATCTAAAATAAAATTTTACCCATCAATAAAAAATATTATTCGAGTACCTACTAATGCACAAAGATGTAAAAATAATCAGAAATCAAGGTTAGAAAGATAGTGAATGCTTTTATATTTCAAGTGGTAGAATTGTTCCCGTTATCTTTGGAAGTTCCGCTTTGGATCCGTCACACCCCCTCCCTGCTAATCCCTGGCCCTGAAAAAAAAAATTGGAAGGATAAAATAATTATATTTTTAGTAATTGTTGATGAAAATATAATGATATCCAAAAATAAAGACCAAAGTAAATTTAAAATTAGTCACCATAACTCTAATTTTTATTTCTTAGTAAATCAATCAAATTTAATCAATAAAATATTAAATTAATTATAAGAAAATTTTAATCAATTAAACATCTTAACCAGAATTTTGTTTGTCTCAAAGAGAATGATGATGGAGAGATATTATTTCACTTAGCTAACAAGACTTACATTTTAAGAAGTCCCAAAGTAAGGTCTCAACAAATTCCTATTGAAATTATTGGTAAAATTTTTGGGGGGCAAATCTCAAGTTTTCTGTATGTATTTTTAAAATATTTTAAATATTAATTATATATATATATATATATATATATATATATATATTCTTGTTGTGGTGTGATTTATTTCCAAACAAAACTTGTTTGGTAACTAATTTGTTGCACAATGTTTCAAATAAATGATTGAATACTTTTTAAAAGTGGTATTTACATTATATTGGCATCTAAAGTATTCTCGTTGTAGCCGTTCAACTACAATAACAAAAACAAATAAAGAAAAAAGAAATATAAAAAAGAAGAAGAAAATAAAAAAATATATATATATCAGAGAACTTTGAAGAGAAAGGAAAAACGAGTTTGATTGAACAAAGGAAAAGCAATATTTTTTTGTGGTGAATAAATAATAAAAAATTAGAAAAAAATTGAGAATAAAAAGAAAAATAACAACATGCCAAACAAACAAAAGTCTTAATAAAACTGACACATTTACGTGTCGAATTGTGATTAGTCAGAACTATGTAGTTTTCGTTCATGTAAAAAAAAATTTGCCCAAGGTATACTGGTTCCGTCTCTACTTCTAAGGCTTTGAACGCCAACCATTCACAAGAAATCAATAATTAATTACAATATAAATAAGAGAAGTGATAGATCTTCAGACTTTAACGTAGGAAGACCTATCATTTTTCTATGAATAGAGAAGTGATAGATCTTTCGACTTTAATTGCCGACTATTCCTTCTATCATTTTTCTATGAATAGAGAAGTGATAAATCTTCCGACTTTAATTGCCGACTATTCCTCCGAATATAACGTGATTGGAAATGAGTCGAAAAGAAAGAGATGTTTACGGGAAATAAAGAATTATTATAAAATAAAAAATAAAAAAATTATGCAATGTGAAATAAAGAATTATTATAAAATAAAAAATAGAAAAATGAATAATTATTGATTATAAATAATTTAATCAATTACTCTAATAGATTGGATGAGTTTTCACTCCCCACCCTAAAACGTCCCTACTCTAATTAACATCCATTGAACGCTAGAAGCCTATCTTAATTGTAAAATGACATGTCATAGCACCTCAAATTCCCATTCTTAATTGTCTAGCATCAATGTCAATGAGAAAGAGTAAACATGATTTTATTAAAAGTCACTTTAAGAGAACCAAAATAATAATAATTATTATCATTAGTTTTAAGATATTGAGATTAGCAGGGGCATAGTTGAGGGACTTGAAGGAGTAACCAAAGCTTAATTTAAGTTATAAAAATTTGAATTCAAGATCGGATCAACCCGTTTAAACCTTGAACTCAAATTTCTCAACTTCAACTCAACCGGTGTTTTGAATTTTGAATTCAAATTAATAAAATCAGACTAAAAATTAAATCAATATCAAGTTACTTTTGAACTGGGTCACTCGTGTGCATAATTTAAAAAAAAAAAATATTTAAAATTATAAATATATAAAATGTAGGTTAGAATTTTGGTTCACATCCCAATTCTAATTAGGTTCTAATTATAAAAATAGATTTTTCCTTGTTTTTTTTGGGTAAAGAATTATAAAAATAATTCTACAAACCTAAGTCACTATAAAATTCAAGTCATACATAATAAAAATAAGAGCAAATGTGTATTCATAATGTAAAAACGATACCAATTAAATAAAAAAGTACGAACTATCAGAGTTTAACGAACAAGAAAGTAGGAAGTATTAGAGTTTAAGAGCGGATAATGGTGCGACTTAACATTCCGATCCGGTTTGCTCAATTAGACATGACAACTTATGATTTAACTACCAGATTTATGTAATAATTTGTAGAAAGATTTGCTGAGTTGGTGTAAGCTCACTCACCAGCTTTGCTGGCGTAGGCCTCTGGTATTGGTTCTTGGTTTAAACTAAACCAGCTTCTAACCATGATTAACAACTAAACCGTATCTTTCAGTTTATTAATTATATGCTCTCCAGTCTCCACACAAAAAGAGTTCTTTTTGTTGCTTCGTGAATTTCGTCTTTGGTAAAGAGAGAACAGTAGAGAGAGCGCAAGGATCAACATGAGTTCAAAAGAGGAACAGAAATGGATACACAGCGAATCCAATTTGTGTTGTTGAATCTGAATGCGGTGCTGATTTATTTGCTGAGCAAGAATTCGAGCATTTGGAGATGGAATCAGAGAACACTCGACGAATCAGAAGGTGTTAGGTCATATACATATATATGTGTGTAAATGTATGTATATATGGATGAGAGTTCTTCGAAGAAGTACTTGGAGATCAAATAATTAGGGCATTGTTTACACTAATCTTGAGTGAAAAAAGTATGTGAAGGTAACAATATAGCATTGATTGATTGGAGCTTATACGAACAACAAGCTCTACATTGTTTGTGTATATATAAATACATACACACTGGAGTAATTTTGGATCGAGATTCATGGAGTCTCGAATGGATCAGTATGAGATCATGGAGCAGATTGGCCGGGGAGCATTCGGAGCTGCCATTCTCGTCAATCACAAGTTAGAAAAGAAGAAGTATGCCCCTTCTCTCTCTAGATTCTGTTTCTCTCTCTAGATTTGAGCATTTCTCCCATGGTAATTTTAGTAATATAGTCCTTTGAGTTTCTTATTTGGATCTTTTTGAAAATTCAGGTATGTTCTAAAGAAGATTCGTCTTGCTCGGCAGACAGAACGTTGTAGGAGATCTGCTCATCAAGAGGTATATGTCAAATTAGTGGATCTTGATTTTGCTTTGTCTTATCATTCATTTTGATATGTTCTTTTGAATTAAACATTTATATTTTTATGTACATTTTGCAAATTGGGATTTCTAGATGGCTCTGATTGCGCGAATTCAACATCCATACATCGTTGAATTTAAGGAAGCGTGGGTAGAAAAGGTTAGACTCTCACTTTTCCTACAATGGTCAGATTCTGTATGATTTGGTACCTTTTTCCTGTGCCTGCCATTTTGGTCCTAAATTAGTATTCCTGATCCATACTTTAGGGCTGCTATGTTTGTATTGTTACTGGATACTGTGAAGGTGGAGACATGTGAGTTTCTAGAAAATCTGAAATTTTATTTATGGTGTACTGCTATTTAGTTATAAATGAGTTCACGGTGTTGATGTACAACTTTTGAACAGGGCTCAATTGATGAAAAGATCGAATGGGCAATATTTTCCTGAGGAGGTATACTCTTTTTCACTATGTAAAATGTTATTTTTCACATATGTATACTCTTAACATATTACAGTTTTTAACGGTGTCACCAACTTAGTGATTTCTAGTGCCCATCCCACACTTAGACACCTTCACCAAGTGTCTATTCCGCACTTAGACACTTTCACCAAGCACCAAGTGTCTGTTCCGCCCTCGGACACATTTCACCAAGTGTTTGTTCCGCACTTGGACACTTTCAAGTTACGTTGAAGTGTTAGTACAATTCTAGTGAGTGTGGAAGGATTTGTATTACTTGGAGGGAGAAGAATGCTTGCAACTTGGTTACAAGTAAGGATGGATGGGGTATCCCTACATTGTACATTGAAGAAAACTATGGGATCGTTATGCAAGGCTTTGATACGTCAAAGTGCACAAAGCCCAAAATAAATCTAGAGAGGATGAATAAATCTTGTCCAATTTTAACTAACAATAGCTGATTTTTAATTAGAGTAATGCTCCTAAGAAGTCCCTTTCATGAGAAGAGCCATGAGCTCTCCCTATTTAACCATTGGACGAATAGGTTTTTTGAGATTTGTGAAAAGTCAAATCAATTTTTTAATGCATCTAAGTTAAAAAAAAAAATAGGAGAGCTCATGGCTCTTCTCATGAGAGGGACCTCTTAGGAGCATTACTCTTTTAATTATCACAATTATCGTTTATAATGCAACAATATCAGTTATTTAAATATAGAGTAAAAATAAATAATCATGTAATGACCCACAATGTCAAAAACACACATTTTTACATGGAAAACCCAACCTTGATAGAGCTTAGAACTAAGTAACCAAATTCACCCTAGAATTACCTAGTCCCTCTAGACTCAGACTTACACGTGATTTTTCCAAATCTTCTATCCATTGATCCATCCACAAACTCACTCCTCATGCAATCTGCTTCTCCATAGGCTTCTAATCTCCAATGACTAGTGACGTCCAGCTGTCACTTGTTTATGTGATTTGGTATTGATGACGATTTAAACTTCACAACTTGGTGACGAACACTTTGAATGATAACTCAGCATCTAACACAACATGACAGATCCATAAAAGTATGAATAGACTATCTCTTTATATGCTCTCTCGATAATGTGTGGAAAGATCTATGTATGTGTGTATTATGAGAACCTAACTTATCAAAAATAATATATGTTAATGAGACTAAAAGTTTTTATGTAGTGTTTTGAGTCTAAGGAAATAGGGTTTTTTAGTCGTAATCAAAAAATGAAAAACCTTTTAGAATTCTAATCTTGAGAGAAGTTTCCAAAACAGTTCAGGCACAGGTGGATTGGTCAAACTACTGATTGAATGCGAAATTCCTAGTTGCATAAGTTGCGACTAGCACAAAAGGTGTAACGACTACTGTGCTGTCTCCACGTGAACCTGGTGAAATTGAATTCTCCATGAAGATCTGGATTACCAACGGTAGACCATATTGGCACTGCTTTGATCGATCGAAGCATTATGAATTTCGATAAAAAATTTCAGAAAATTTTCAATTGATTGACATATTGATTGAAGGTTTTTTTTTTTTGTTTATGTAAATTTAATCTAAAAATAATTTTATGTGTTTAAAAAAAAAAATTGAATTAAAACATTTATGCATGGTGCCTTAAAATAAGAATGCATGATTACGAACTCTAAAAGGTGTGTTAGTTATTCAAGAGGTGAATTTGCCTTTTTGTCTTTTGATGTATCTTTGAATTCTGATTCTTCCCTTAGACATAGGTACCACCACTAAAGAACTTCTGAAAATAAAACAAAAGTTACAGACTTCTGCTTTTATTACAAAATTTGCCCACACCAATTCCTAAGTGTCACAATCCTCATTATATAATTTTGCAAAAAATTGATGAAGGGTAATGATGTTACTTTATTTTATATACAGTAGCTATCCTTCTCTTTTCTCCTTTCTTTCATCCAACTTTGGAAGAATGCAAAATGGTAGGCCAGAAAGGATGTCTCATCCATCCTCCCCTTCTCTCCAACTCTCCCTTGTACCACAATGGAGACTTGCTCGGTTGCTCTGTACCCTCCTCTCTTCCTTCCCTCCCTCTTCCTTCCCTCCTACCAAATGCAGTTCTAAAGAAAATCTAAAATATTTTTGAGGGTCTAAAGAATTGTATACTATTACTACTCTACATGAGTGTAGAAGAATCTAGAATGGAAAAGTCACGCAAACAATCCATGTTCTTGTGTACTTTCGTTTGTGTTGCAAAGCCTTAACATCCTTTCCTTGCCTTTCTATGATCTTTTGAATTGAGCAAACTCACTGACACCTGTTATCTGCTGCAAACTGAGTATTTTCCATCCTTGCTGAAATGCCAAAATTTGTCTGGTGGTAGGGGTGAGGATCATCCATCCACATGGATTCAAACTAACTCTGCATTTCTTATTTGCAATTGTGTTCCATGGTTTGACACGATCCTTGCACGTAGTAGATTCCGCTAGGCATACAAGAGGTTGCCACTGTTTCTACTTCAATATAAGAATAATGGGGATAATATTTTGCTTCAAGAACCTTTGCCACAATGGAATGGGGATTCTGGCATAATCTCCACCCTTGTTTGGCTAGCATGGCTAGGTTAACCCAATCTGCTCTCTCTTTCTCATGCCTGCAGAACTTCCCCCGTGAAAGCCAAAGGACTTTCTTTCTTCAATTGTTTTCCACTATCAAATTCATCCCTTCTTCTCATAATTGGTAAGCAATCATCTCGCAAGGTGGAGTCAAACATCTCGTAATTTCCTTCCCAGCCTTTGATTGATATTTCTCTTTCCACCTTTGCAGCTTCATCCAAGCCCTCTCTTTAGAAATTTTTTAAACAACCTTCCCTTGTCTCTTCCCACCACCATTGATAGACCCAAATATTTCTCAAGACTCGGAACAAAGGGAACCCCCAAAATAGTTTTTAGTACATCTGATCTATTTTCTCAAGAAGTTTAAGATTGAAGGAAAATACTGTTTTGTCCAAAAGTTTATCTCTTTCCCCATAGCAGATTCATAGAGATGTAGGATGACCTGCTTTGCACTGCAAATCAAAGGTTATTATCAGCTAAAAGTATATGAAAAACCTTTGGCCTAAGGCAAGATGCTGTGAAATCATGGATCAAATGCTTTTTTCTTTTTCGTTTTATATATATATATATATATATCCCTCAACCTCCCCTTTTGGGAGACGGGGGTCGTGTGAAACAGGCCAAGGCCCCGGTTGTCAAATGCTCTCTTTCCATCTTGCTTAAGAGGGTTGATATTTGATAATCCTTATGCACATAAGAGAAAAAATTATGTTTATAAGCCCGCCCCCTAGTGTGAGTGTGAACACCTTTTGTTATCCATCAAAAAAATAGTGGAAGAAACTGAGGAATACATTACATAATGAAATCCAGTTCTGATAAAGCTCTAGTTTTTTCCCCCGTCTCCTTGACGAAAGCAATTAGAGCCATCTACAAGTCCAAATTTCCAAAATGTAACAATGGTAGCTTAGAAATGTTTAGACTTTCTCCATTTATATGTGTCTGTATATCTTCATTTGCCAAGTCTGTACTTCTACTTCTTTTTGTATTATATGAGACTGCTAACAATTGTGGCATTGCTTAGAAACTTTGCAAGTGGTTTGCTCAACTACTATTGGCGGTTGAATATCTGCATTCAAAATTTGTTCTTCATCGAGACCTTAAAGTATGTAATAGAGTATTGGGCAATATGTTTGGTTTGAATTTTATCTATTATCTTCAAAGATTATATAAACTGATTTATTTAGGAACATCTTGCCAGTGTTCAAACATCTTTCTTACCAAAGATCAAGATATTCGCCTTGGTGAGTTTGTCTAAATTTTTGTATCAAGTTAGAATGGATTCCTCTAGTCCAAGTCTCAGTACTAATTATTTTTAATGTTCAACTTGAATTGTTTTCAGGGGATTTTGGACTTGCCAAAACATTGAAGGCAGATGACTTGGCTTCTTCGGTGTGTGCTCTATATGCATATTGCTTTTTGTTGGAAAATTTTGCATTCTTAAGGGATGAAAGAATCCACATTAGGTTCTATTTTCAAAGTATAGTTTTAACTTACCTAAATATACAAATATAATAAAGGCAAGGATGGAGAACTTCCCATACATGTAATTTAAGGCTAAATCCGAATGTTGCTAAAGATACATACACTAAAATTTTTTATTGTATTAACCATTGCTCAAAATACATTATATTCTTGTGATAAAAGTCATTTAATGCTGCTGGGAACATCTGATTTGGTACATGTTGCCAAACTACATGGTTTGTAGATACATAAACTCAATATATTTAATAACATGTGTATATCTAAGGGCATCATGATGAGGCTGTTATCTGTGCCACAAAATTTTTATGATGCGTCATTGCAGATATTTCTATCTCTTAGGAATTAAGAAATTGAAATTTGACAGAATTGGAAAAACGTTGCATAAATTGTTGTAGAACACTAAACACTCTTTTTTTATTTTTTTTTATTTTATAGTTATTTAAGAAGGCTTTTTCATTTAAAAAATGAACTGAAAAATTGATTCGCCAAATGTGAAGTTCATATGCTATTGAAGCATGACAGTATGTAATTTATTTTAAAACTGAATGAGAACTTGCTTCATGTGACTTATTGTGGGACCCTAAAAATATTGGAACAACCATTTTTTTTTTTTTTTTGATAAGTATTGGAACAACCATGTGAGGACCAGGAACTGATTTGTACACCCTAGCATGGATGTTGGAACACTATATTTATGGACTGTCTTGGCGTTGGAATAATCCACTATGGACATGAAATTGAAATTGTGGACCAAATTTTTTTGATAAGTCAACTTGTGGACCAAAATATGGACCTTGAAATACTATTTGTGGATCACATCATGTATCAGACCTACAGGATAAAGCTTAAAAATGGACCGTACTTTTCTACAAAATTATCATTCTAACCAAATACATATTTGGAAACTTATTTTCATTTTTTTCGCTTCACTTTCCAATTTTTTTTTTCCTTCTAATCAAACAAAGCCTTTTGGAACAAAAGATCATGCAATTTGGTTATGCTTCCTCAAAGTTATTCTCAAATATCTCTGAGTGTTGGTTGACCCCTGATTCAATTTTTTACACAATAGAATACTTATCATAAAAAATAAAAAAAATTTTACACAATAGAAAGTGTGTAGAGATGCTTGTTCAACAAATGTAAAGTTACTTTGATACAATATGCTAATATTTCCAAAGATAAAGAGACAACTATGATATGCACATCCACTGCTGAACTAATTGTAACTTTGTTCTGTTGTACCCAGGTGGTTGGAACTCCTAATTACATGTGTCCTGAACTTCTTGCAGACATTCCTTATGGTTTCAAATCGGATATTTGGTCCCTAGGCATGTTTTTCACCTTTTTCTTTCCTAGGCTATATCTGTGAGATTTAAACTTTATTTTGTCTTTGACTGAATATTTTCTTTGTCAATCAGGTTGTTGTGTGTATGAGATGGCTGCTCATCGCCCTGCATTTAAAGCTTTTGTGAGACTTCTTCCAATATCTAATCCTTTTGGCTTCATGTGACACCTGCAACTTGAGATAAATTTGCACAAGTCTATTCTTGGTGTTGTGATCCTATTTGGCAACAGATTATCAATTCTAATTCAGTGAACCCACTATTCTACATCTATAAGCCCGAATCGTGACATCTACTTTTCTTCACGGTCAGGGTCTGAGCCAGAGAATTGGGGTTGGGGGGGGGGGGGGGGGGGGGGGGGGTGGTTGGTGTTGGGGGGTGGTGTTGTGGTGTGGGGAGAGGAGACTAGTACTATGAAATTGAAATTTGAAAAATTTACCAATCGATTGTAATATAATTTTCTTTACAATATTAATCTTAGTATATATATCTTGGGAAAAATACGACCTAAAAATAAATAGAGATGGAAAATTGATATGATGAGAAAGTAAAAACATAGAGAAGAGGAAACAATAAGTTACAAGTAAAAAGAGAAAAAGAAAAAACATTGTTAGATGATAAAAAAAAAAAAAAAAAAAAAAAAAAAAAAAAAAAAAAAAAAAAAAATATTGTTAAGTATTATTAGATGATCATTTTTTTTTTTTTGGAAGTTAGATGATCAATTTTCCTTCAGTAATTGTTTCAATTTTTCAAAAAATTCAATTTATGGGAAAATATATTATTATTACCTTGATGAAAGATCAAGGGAAAAAAAAAACAATGTGAACTAATCAAATGTCTCAAGCTTTAATCAAATAAAGAAGTACTTTAGTAACTTATACAAGGAGTAGTTATAGAATTTTTCGTTTAACAATTGACAATTAAAAATATTAATATATATGATATCGTTGTTGTTGTTGCCATTCTTCCCATCTTAGACTCACAACACTTAAGTTAATCTCCTTCCAATGCTCCCAACACTAGCCAATGGAGATACGTATATAATTTTAGATATTATTCTTTAAAACACCATATTACGAAAATGTCTGACAATAAAGGTTCATGCATTTTTCTTAACCATGATGGAACATTTGTGTGTTTCTCTTTTTTCTCTCATCAGTTCATAGAATGGATATTATACATGTGTATATCTAATTGAGGTGACGGTGTGTTGCAGTAATGACTACAATAATATGTACTTACATTTTTGTTTCACAAAATTTGGGTTTCGAAGTATGGCTAAAAGGGTCCAAGTTGAAATTTTCTAAGAGGGGACACGAGGTAAATTTATTTAACTCCCCATTTTTGGAACCAATAAAAAAGTGTTTTAGAAAGATTTTTGAGGGGCCAGTTGAAAATTTTAATAAATTCTGAGACAATATATTTTTTTTTGTGGGGTTGTTGTGTGGGGCTGCATGCCCCTCTACCTCCACCCCTGTTCACAACTAAATAGCATAGACAATTCCATAGAGCAGCTGTATCTATGTTGGTCATGATTGTAAATATGAAGGCCACTCTGACTTGCCAGCCACATGCCTGGACATGACATTATCTTTTCTTTCTTTTTCCTTTTTTCCCATTTTTGGTTGCATAACATGGTTATATTCTACTTGAAGAACATAATATAATTAAAGAAAAAATATATTGATATTTATGAACATTGGCATTTACTGAAGTTGATTCAAGACAAAATGTGGGAAGATTTGTGTTACATATTCCTTCTAATTGCATGAAGTACCTGAGTCAGACATACGGGTACACATTGTATATGTGTCCTACATTTTTGGCTGCCAGTAAGCATATCCAATAAATATAATTTACTATACACTTGTTCATAAAACTATCTTATTTTTATTGATTATTATTAATATTATTTTTTGCATGGTTGCTTCAAATTTTCGGTGCAGTATTGAACACCAAAACACGATTGTACAAATATGAATATTTAATGTTAAGCCCATGTCCTTGGGTTTGAGATTTGATAACTTTGATGCTTAAACACTTGCCCCATTCGCACACTAACCGAGATGATATAACATGGGGGAATGAGGAGGCGATATATATAGGTGAATGATTTTTTTCATATATATAAGTTGCATATCATATATAAGCTATATATTCTCTTATTATCGTAATCTTTCTGTCTAGGTTCATCTTTTCCTTTTATTTTTATAGTTTTTTCCTTTTGGTTTACTTGTGGTGTTAATCTTTGTCTAGGGTGGTCTGTGTCCATCCAACACAGTTTAATCAATGTAAAATGCACCAGAAAAGTATATTCAGCATTTTCATAAGTGCTCCAAAGTTTATTTATGTCTGTAAAACCATTTATATATTGCTTCAAGACCTACTTCTGCCTTTTCTTTTCTTTTATTTTGTAGGGGAATTGTTTGCACAATCATATTTATGCGAAGAATAACCTCATATATCTAAGGCTTAGACAAAGCATTCATTCGATGTTTACATTTATATTATATTGAGCAATATTATGACATTTGTTTTAGTAAACAATCTGCTATAGGTTCAACAACTTTTTTGCTTCTGCAGATACTTGAAGTAACGTATCATAACTGTAGAACTTCTTATTTCGTTATTTAATCTAATTCATCTATAAAAAAATTTCCAATTCAGTTTTTGTATGTATCCTAGTTTTTGTTTAGTGTTTAATGTTGGTACGATGCATTTGGTTTCAGGACATGGCAGGGTTGATAAGTAAGATAAACCGATCATCCATTGGTCCTTTGCCTTCCTGCTATTCCCCCTCCTTGTAAGTCAAAGGTTCCTGCACAACGTTCGGCATGTTATTATTTAATATTGCATGACCATCTTCTCAGAGTTGGTGATCTTAATCTTAATGTTTCACCTAGTTAGTGCCTAAGCTATCAGTTTGCGTAGTTGTACCCTCAATCACTTGCATTAGGTTGTAGGTGGGTGATGATGGTTAGGGAATTGTCTAGTTGGTGTGCAGTTGGTTAAGACTCTAAAAGTTCTTTCACTTAGATTTGTAACTTTGCACTGTGTTAAACGAGTAACCATTGGTGACCTGATGACAGTAGAACGAAAGGAATAGGAAATATATAATATGATGAGTGTTGTAACTCTGAATGTTTTAACTTTTCAAAGAAGCTACTGTCACTGGATGTTATAACTTTTCAAATTAGATTATGCTCATTGCTTCTGCTAATGGAATCATATTTTTCTTGTCTTCTTCTGTTGTTGGATGGAAGAAGTTGATTCAAAGATTATTTTTTATGATTTTAGTTGCAATCATTTTTTATTCTTAATTTATGGTTCACATCATGAATTACCATTTGTTCTCCTGGACGTGCAATTTATTTCCCAGCTAAAAATATTCATAAACAATTTTCTTGTAGTCAATTGTAGTATTTAACATTTCCTAGGTTTTTTGGGTTGGTATTGCTAGAGTAAGGTACATGTGATAATTCCTAGTTTTTTGGTGGGTGGTGTTGCTTGAGTAGACTCACAAAACATAAGTTATCAAAGCTCCGTGTTTGCATGAATCACCAATTTTTGGCTCTCTTTGGCTGCCAGGGCCCAATTCTGTGGTTATATGCCCAAAATTTACAATGCTAGATATGAAATTTTGTACGCCAGGTTTAGGCGGGGCTGTAAGACAAGCTGGGTAGCTCGAGTTTGTGTCAAGCTTGGCTTGATTTTAACTGCTCAAGGTTGCTAATTAGGCTTTATAATCCAAGCTCAAGCCCGACCCCAGCTTGATAGCAAAGAAACAATGGTTGAACAACCTGCCTTTTAGACTTGCACAAGCTTCGACTCCTGTTAGATGTTATTATTGTAGTACTGTTTAATAGTCAGGGGTGGTGTTGTACTTTTTCTCTTAATATATAAGAATGAGGGGTGTAGGGCCTCTTACTACTCTCAGATTTCTATCCTCCCTCTTCTCTCTCTTCTTCTTCTTCTAATCTATCCCTAAAAAACACACTTACAAGCTTCAATGTTCATAAAACTGAAGTTAAAAGTGGCTTCTGCCTGCTGTCATTTAGCATAACACAACCCTTGAATATCATTATTCAATTCACAACAAAACCACTGTTAAAAGTACCCACCTTCATGCCAAACCAATCACAAGGAAGTCGCTTGTTGATTTGTTATCTTGAGTTTGGTAAAAGCTGCAGAACATTGACATATTTTCATGTGATGTGGCAACTCAAGGTGTTTCTTTTCAGCTATCAAAGAATGATATCTACTAGAATAAAAAGTCTCCAAATCACCCGTTAAATGAGCTTGAGCTGACCCAAGCTTAATCCTGTTGATTAAGATTTGAACCAAGCTTGAGTAATGCTGCCTAGAATTCAACTGACCTCAAGCAGTTTGTGCAAACCCACTTCTTTTCCCATGATTACCTATAACGACGTGACATGGACACGGGTACTTGGAATAAGTGCATGTGGATACACTTATCCAAATTCATCATTCAATAATTCAGCTGTGTCCCCATGTCCACAGTTTTGGAGGTTACATATGTCTAACACAGATGCAAACACGAATAGAGTATGTGTATTCTGGTCAAGATAACATAGTTGGCCATTACCTACATTATACTGAGCTGATCTGGAACGGAAAGATATTAAGCTTGGGTTGGCTCCTTTACACCCATGTTTAGGTTTTGGGGCATTGTTTTGCATGTAGAATTACTAACCCAAAGAGAGATTTGCATGAACTAAAGTTCTATTTTGATGGACGATTAACTCACCACTATAAAAGAAGCAATGAAAGAGGAAAAGCCAGAGGTAAATATTCAGACTATGGCTGGCCGTATAATACGATGCTTGATATCTCTTAAACTTATTCACAGTGATTTGGAGTTAAAGCTCATTGTCATGTTGACCTCTTCATGTTGTACATGTATTGAAACTTATATTTATGTATATTCTTCTTAATATAATGTACAGATTTAACCCTTAAATGGAATCTTTCCCACCATGGAAACATCTCAATTTCCACTTCTCTTTTGTGTCTTTTTATTTTATTTTTTTATTTAATTGCATGCTATTAGTTGATTAAGTAGCATACAATTAATCTGTTATCTGTTCCACTCACAGGAAAACACTTATCAAGGGCATGCTAAGAAAGAGCCCCGAACACCGTCCAAGTGTGAGGATTTTCAGAATCTTTTTTCATTTTAAAGAATTTTCTTTTCAATCAGGACATCATTTTAATAATCTGATTTCAATTTTGATCAGGCATCCGATATCCTAAAGCACCCATATTTGCAGCCTTATGTTGACCAATACCGCCCATCCTTTGACCCTCCCATTGCCTTCCCAGAGAAGCCACTTTCTACTCGTTATACTAGGAAGAATATGGCTGGAAGGCAAAGCAGTAACAGTTCTTGCAGTGATAAAGATAGTTTTATTTCGAGTGAGAAAAGCATCCCAGCCATAGAAGTCAATATTGATAACAAAGGCAGCGATACAGATTTAGGTTCTTTTGATGATGAGGTTGGCTGTGAGCAGCTCCTGCCAAGTGATGAACAAAATGGCACTGACATGTGCAGTTTCAAAGTTGACGAACAGGAGGTGACGAAACCCTTCGATGATGAGCGTAGATCCACTGTTGAAGCCAAGCAACCAAAAACCATAAAAAACATTATGGTGGCTTTGAAAGAAAGAAAAAATAGAGAAAACCCTGCAAAGGCTGGGGGTGCATGGATTCAGAGGACTAATACAGAAGCATCATCTAAAATCCCCAAACCAAGTCCAGTCTCTCCAAGTTTCAATGCTAATGCAGAGGCACCACCTGCTGCGCCAGCAAAGGCACACTCTGATTCTGCAAAACAGGTTCAGGGACCACACCTTTGAAGCATCAGTTACTGCAATTGAATGTTCCCTGTTTTGATTAATATCTGTGCTGAACTTTTATATTGATGACCTATCTATGCAGCTACCTATTATTGATTCCTCTTCAAAGTCAAAACCTAGACATGATGGAATCCCTCTCTCTGGTTCCACAAGGCATGTAGCTGAAGATGGACTTCCTGCCAGGTTAAGACAAAAAACACCGCCTAATTTTGTCAGACGATCATCATTTCCAGGACGGATGAAGCAAAGGGGTCTTGACTCTCCAAATACCATGAGCAACACTGCGAAGGTAGGCCCAAGTGAGGCAACCTAAGATCCTGAGATGACTCCTTATGCAGTGCCAATCAGTTGCATTAAACGTGTTTCAAATGATATCCTGCAGGAATCTCAAAAGGCTCTAGGGGGAGCTTCCAAAGGAATGCAAACAAATAGCAGCAATTCTGTCTCGTCTTCAATGTCAATTCAAAAATCTGAGCTTTCTGATGATGCAATAACTCCATTTATCTATTCGATAGAACAGACAATTCCTGATCATGAGAGAGTTGCCAAAACTGAAAGCTTAGAATCACATCGATGCAGCTGCTCGGTTGCATCCCCATTGCAAACTGAAATAGCTGAAAATTTGTCAAGGGAAAACAATGGACATGACAATAAATCAGTACCATGCTCATTTGATACATCTGGGGTTCACCTAGATCTTCAGAATATTGCTGCTGGTGCTGAAAAAGGGAGTTTGAATGTACCTCTGGAGGTCTCAATATCTCATTCTGAAGAAATATTTGTTTCTAAAGCTGATACCCCTCCAACCAGGCCGAGTGGTGGGCCTGATGTAGTACCCCAGTTGAACCTCTCTTCTACATCCAGTGGCGGTGACAAGTTTACTGTAAGGGAACTTCTGCCATCACTAGCAGACACTACCTCTTCCCCTGCTCCTCCCATTTCATCTATCCAAAAAAATGTTCTGCCAGACAAAGGAAATGTTTTGCAAAAGCCAACAATTGAAAATCCAGCCGCTGCACATCTTCCTCCAGCTTTTGATGATGTAATACATGTTATACGGCACAGTAGTTTTAGAGTCGGGAGTGAGCAGCCAGTGGTAAAGGGTGTGGAAAACATCGGTGTTGGGAAGCTGATAAATGTAGTTAGGGACGAGCTGGATACAAAAAGCCTAACCACTACTGCATCTCAAGAATCATCTAGTTACTCTGAAACCAGGACTCTGAAATCAAAATTTTCTGACAATCCAGGCATTGAGGAATTGGGCGTTGGGAAGCTGATAAATGTAGTTAGAGATGAGCCGGAAACAAAAACCCTAACCACCACTGATACCATGACTCCTAAATCAAATCTCCCTGACAATGCTGGTATTAAGGAATTGGATGTAAGAACACCCACCTCTTCAATTACAAAATCTGATTCCCCTGAGCCAGCAAAACCTAACCCTTCTGTAACGCAAGAGGAACCAACAGCTAAGGAAACTTTGGATGTAACCTCTTTTAGGCAGAGGGCAGAGGCCCTTGAAGGACTATTAGAATTGTCTGCCGACCTGCTTCAGCATAACAGGTTGGAAGAGCTTTCAGTTGTTTTAAAGCCCTTTGGAAAAGATAAGGTTTCCCCAAGGGAGACGGCTATCTGGCTGGCAAAAAGTCTCAAAGGAATGATGCTCGAGGACTGTGGGCGGAGTTCATGAATCATTATATTCAATGGTATGTTTTTTTCTTCCTGATTTCTTGATTACTGATAATGCTTCAGTAGTTCCTTGCTATTTTTTCGTACTCTTCACCTATTCAAGGTCCACTAGAAATTATTAAACAGAACAACCACGACTTTTATATTCTATTTGTAATTCTTTGAATGCAGTATTTTGTACATAATGCCATAGAAATCAAATGGTAAATATATGGATATGTTGTATAAGATATTTTTTAATGGGATTACTTATTGTTTTTATGACGGATAAAACACTATATGATTATTCTCAGGAGAACACTTGGAAACACACAAATGCGAAGTTAAGATGGTATGGTCTTGATTTGACTGTCAGGTTATGGAAAATTTACTTAGGATTTGCATATCAGCACGCTTCATTTATCAACTTTGTTCGTGCGCTTTGGCTGTTAGATTGGGTAGGTATCGAATAGAACATGCTGAGCCAAATCTTCTTCATGTAAAACCTGCTTGATTTAGATCGATATGCATGCCAGATATCACATTGATAGGACATTTATGAGTTGCCATGATCTGCATTAACTCGCAATTCTTAGTATTTTTCTTAATATCTGATCAACTTGAAAGTTGTAAGCATGATGAGCATGAGACACAAACTTAATACCTGCTTGGTTTGTATTGTGAATATGATTCAGAAAGTCTTGCCATATTTAATGCGATGCATATGTAGTTGTTTCCCATTTTTTTACACCATTGCAATAGAAAATCATAAAAATACTACAATTGGAGCCAATGAAAGTGAAGCAAATTCTTTATGGGGGTAAGATAATGTTTCTCCTTTCTTTTCTTTTTAGGTTAGAGCACTTATATGTTATTTCTCAGTGGTTTAACAAATTTAAACAATTTTTTTTCCTCAAAAGTTAAAGCAAACGCACACACAACCATACTATTGCCCCTAGCAGGGCTCGAACACTACCTCCCTTTTGGGGAAGAGAAATCATATGATCTTGCGTTAATTTTTGAAAGATGATTAAGCTCTAATCGGAAGCTGGAAAGGCATTCAAAGTGATGATCATGTGCAACTTGGGGAAATTATGTCCAACAACACATTTTGCAGGTGTGGTTTTTAAGTGCTGGAATGGAGTGTTATATCCTTGCTCCTGGAATTTGTTCTTTCAAGGGAAAGAAAGATGTTGAATGCCAAGTCCTAAAGTAGTGCTGTGATGAATGACAAACAAAAATTTGATTGCATATTGAATTATAAGGACAGAAGACAACCTAATCTAATGCCTAGATTTCTATTACTAAAAACCTTTTAGTGACAATATCGAACTGTCTCTCTAGGACTAAGCAACAAAATGAGTTGGTATGGTCATCACAAAAATACAAAACATGAAAATTAAAAATTAGAGGCATTTAATTGTTACTCGGAACCATTAAAGGTGGTAGTTGTAACAGGTTTGCTATCAGTTCTTTTGAGTAGGGCTGACAGCACTCTAGTCATATATACTCAATTACTTTTTCATCCGTTCATCCGGATCTGAGGAACAAGATCCCTCATGTAATAGTAGTTCAGTAATGTCTTCTCAATCTTTTTGAAATGGAAAGTTATCGGAACGAATGGAGTGTATGAGTTTCTTTTGAGATAAAAAAACAAAATATATGTTTTTTTTTTTCCTGGCAAACAGCAAACAAGGAAAGAAACATACAAACACCGACAACAAAATTACACAAAAGAAAGATCTTGAGCTACACGAATAAGAATATCCTCTGAAATAAACTGAAGCGCACAATCCATATGAATATGAGTCATATGAGTCCTACTTTAGTGAGAAAATCGAAAGAGGAGGATTGATCGCACCTCCCGTGATACATATCCAAGATCGCACTGGAAGAAACGAAAAAAAAAATTTAAAAAGGTAAAGCAAACCAAACCACACGAAGGAATAGAAATTCCAAACTCTGAACGCTAGAGAACCGGCGAGAGGAACACTGTTTTGAACTGTTAACACTCGGTCTATCTTTATTTTTATTTTTATTTTTTATTTTTAAACCCTGGCAAGAAACAAGCCATACGTCATACGGCATCTACAACAAGAACATCGGTCAAAGACATAGGATCAAAAACACAGTAAACACCATGAACAAAACCATCCCAAAACTAACAAACACCTCTTTTAAAAATTAATATAAACAAAATATATGTTTATCGAATGTGAAGTCTTTAGAATTGCAATATGGCATTTGCCTTTTTTTTCTGCAAGCCAATTTTGGTCATTTTTAATTTTAGCCAATGTAATGCGTGATTCTTGTTCAACATTCACACATCCACCAAAATTACTTTATCCACCTAATTTTTCTTTGGAAAATGAAGCATTATTACCACAGAATAAGAATGTTTAGAATCAGAATCCAATTTTTGCAAATTACGTATGAAAATTTTTATATATTTTTTAAAAATATGTATAAAAAGACTTGAAATGGTGCGACCCCATTGGTGAATAGGCTTCAAGACCTTTGCATCTTTTTTCTTGTCCTCCTTTTGCACCTTCAACATCTTCACACAACTCTTAATGCTACAGAGCTCGAAAGTGGCAAAACCAAACAACAAAATGGGAGTGGAGTGGAGTGGAGTGGAGTTGAAACGCGTGGTACCCATTTAGAAGAACAAATTTGGTGCGTTACAACTTACAGCAAAGATTAATTTATCAGTATAGCCCTAAGAAGCCATGTTCCCGGAAATGGATAAACAATGCCAGAATCAAAGGAATTTTAGGCTCCGTATGGATTTGGTGATGCTGCTTACTGGTCTTTTAGATCAAGCATATAATTCCATCACAAGGAAATATCTTCTTCCAGGCCCTCACCAAAACCACGCGAAGAAAGATTATTACATGAAGCTGAAATGATAGATGAAGAGGAGGAACGCTACTGAAAAGCTCCGGGAACTGCAAGTGACTACTGGTCCTTTGCCCTCTTACGGGCCAAAAATCGTTCTTTTGCTGCAGCCACTGCATCTACACTCCTTTTATGATGATCAGGTTTCGGTTCATCGGCTACTGGTTCAGTTACATCCTTTTCTTCTCCGGAAGCACTTGAATTTTGCTTTGTATGCATAGACTCAGACTGTTCGTCAGCTGTTGGTTCACTTAAAGTTTTTCCTTCTGTCAAAGAACTGGAATTTGGTTTTGTATCTATAGACTCGGGACTCGCCTTGGGAAGGGTAGAAGTTTCACCACGACGCCTATCTCCCACCTCGGAAGCTTCCAAACGCATGTTGGTTGATGGAGGAGCTTTTTCTGATTTATCAACAGTGGCCTCTTCCCTCAGCCGTCTATTCTTCCTTGACTCGGCCTCTTTGGAACCAAAAGCAACGTTCTTTGATAGGTTGAAATAGAAATCACTGATATCACTCTTCTTAGTGACCTTATGAAACAAAATAAATAAATAAAATCAATGAATGGGCTAATCAGATTAAGTGCCTTGCAAAACCAAAACATTGATATTAATAAAATAGACAAAATAAATAAATGGGCTAAACAAATTAAGTGCCCGAAAAAGTACAAAGTAAATATATTTTATCTGACAAATATTACAAGCCTAGCAGCAGCATCTGTAATCAAATTGTATTTTAGATATCATCTACATTATCAAATCAGAACATCATTTAAAGGCAAGTTCCCGAAGTGACGGATTCACTAAAATGAGCACAACTAGTCCCCAACAGCAACCAGCTTGACCTGGCATGGTTTTTATACCGCTCTGGTGGGCGTGACATAAACCCAGCAGCCCTCCAAGGTTCATTTACATTACAGAAAGATTATACGCTTATGGAAACATATTACAGAGAAATCAAATAAAGAATAAGTACGTTGATATGGCAATAATGCTTTACATGTAAACTAGTATAGCCAAGGTTCTATTTCATCAGGCAGAATGTGCAAGTCCCAAGCTCCCCAAGTCAATCCAGTTTCACTTCTAAACAAGCTCTACTTTGTAATTCAGAATATGTGAATCCGAACACCAGTAGCAATTCTGCACTAAAGTTTGCAAGTGCAGTAAACAAAAGATGTCGGATTCCCAAAATTGTCTTCCTTCAATTGTCAATAAAAAGCCAACCCAACTACTAGGGATCTTTAATGCTTTATTGAGCTGAGTAGCTTGAGAGAGCAAGTTAGGATTTACTGTTGTATGTCGGCATAATCTCGAAACAAAAGCCAGAGTTTGTAATTTTTTCATTTCATTTTGATGAGGGATTTACTGTTGTATGTCGGCATAATCTCGAAACAAAAGCCAGAGTTTGTAATTTTTTCATTTCATTTTGATGAGTCATTTAGAAAATTGATTACTCTTGATCCATTGAAAAAGACTCATGAAGATCACAGAGATGATCAAGCACATTGAAGAAGACTGCAGGTCAAATTGGCTGACGTAAGTTATTTTTTTTTTTTTTTTTTAAAGTCAAATTGGATGATGTAAGTTGATCACTCACAATAGGACTAAGTTGAACTAAAGCGACGACACATTTTTGCATCCATGTTAGATTGCATTATTAAATGTTTGCATGTTCTCACTGTATGCAAAGGTATCGATAATCCATCATCCAGAGCAGTTGACCCTCTCAGATGCAAAGATCGATGGACCGATCCCTCATTGATTTGAGATCAATCTCATGCCTTGAAGGACTTATTTCCATATTCAAATATGCCAGGAAAAGGTTTTGAAAACCTAGTTTACTCAAAATATACTTCTTAGACCTACACACACACACATATGCATGCTAGAGCTTTGAAAAAAAATAACAAAATAAAAAATATAGAAAGTTGCATAAATGCAGGAAAACATTGTTATTCATTGAGATCTATATATTTGAGAGTTTATCACACATTCTGGGAGATCACATAGTGGTGTAAGTGAGAATTTACATTATTCCAAGAGCTAATAAAGTTCTATTCATGGAGAGTCATGTGTAGAAGAAGAAGATAGTTGTGTAAGTGAGAATTTACGTTATTCCAAGAGCTAATAAAGTTCTATTCACGGAGAGTCGTGAAGAAGAAGAAGAATTTTTATACAAGGAGAATTTTTAGAGGAGGAGGAGAAGAGAGGGGGGATTTTGTACACTGAAGGAGACAGCTGCCCCCATGAGCCTATGGTGGCTCCATGCAAGGAATCCCATCAGTTGCTCATTTTAGCACAAGGTGTAGATGACGTGTCAGCAAACAATCAACTAAGAGCAGTTCATATTGGGAGAACGGATTCGTTGATTAACAGTAACAAAGTTAAGAGTTAGAACATTTATACCTCCACATAGTTATTTTGACATGAAAGCATGCAGAAATAAGTTACTTGGGAATTCAGTAAGTTGATCACATGTTAAGTAAGATAATGGAAGAACCAAATGAGAGGTAAAACGTACATCATCCTTTTCTTCCCGAAGTTGACGAAGACGTTCTTCCTCCAACCATTTTGCTTGCTCCGCAAGTTTCTTTTTGTAGGCACTTGTAACAAACTTATCCTTGTCAGCATAGAGGTGCTCATCTTGACTTCTCTCTTTAGCAAGTTTTCTCTCATATACTATCTCATGTTCTCGCTCTCGTTCTTTCGCCTTTTCCATTAGTGTTTGAATATATTTTGACTGCAATTGAAAAACAATAAGCCAATCAAAATAATCGGACCGAAAGAGAACTTAATTTCTTTAGGATTGATAAAATAAGAATACAAATACAAGTTATTCAGCACTTTGTTAGAAAGAATACATTGTTACAAGCACAAAATAAATTGGGCGACATTGGGTGTGAGAGACAGGGAAAGAGGAGTCTCTTACCATTAACAAAGATATTGAACTGATTACTTTATATTTTATGATTGATGTTTACTTTTCACTTAAAAGTGTGCGAAAAGCCTCACTCTTCCATTCCTTACTCTCGTAACTCACTCTTTCTTTTTCATCATTTCTCTAATCTTGGAGGGCTGGGATCCCCTTCTTTCACCAAATGAGGAGAGCCCAAGCATCGTTAACAATGGCTTCTAAAAGTAGAAATATTCCTCACTAGCTAAGGTAGAAAGCTAAGAGCAAAAACTCTTACTCTTGCATTACTTGTCAAAACTCTAGGAATTGTATGTTTCAACACTCACCATCTATATGCATAGATGATGAATGAAAGGAAGAGTCTAGCAATTGGACTGCTAGAATGTACTCTATGCCTCACTGAAATATGATGCTCAATATATGCTCTCTAAGGTTTTTATGCACTTGTATAAGTTTTTTGAAAGTAGAGGGCCTTATTTATAGACCTATTTAAGGGTTAAAATCAGATCTGGAAACTACTTTTTCACACCTCTTGATAATCGACGAGAGCTTTGATCGATCAAACCTAGTCCATTGAGTCTCGATTGATCCTTCGGTCTAGAACTCCTATCCTAGTTCTATTAGGATTTGAAAAATCCATATCAGAAACAACAGGGGGAAGTCCACAATCCATCTGAGCCAATAAATTCTTAAGCTTAGTAGTATCTCAACTTCCTATCCATTTCAGAAAAGAAGCTTGCACTTGCGTAAGTTGCAGCAGTTGCAGAGGTAACAAGGTTCTCATAGAAATCTGTTACCTATTGGTATCAAAAAAAATTGTCATAATTTGGAGAATCATATATTACTAGCTTATTAACTTGATGGAGTAATGATTCATCATTTAATCCCTCAACTTAGGGACATAGAAAAAATCCACAACTAATTTACAATCAACATAACAAAATAGTACTAAGTACAAACTATCATATGCCTATGATCAAAGATTGATTTGATTTTGACTTCTGTCTACTTTGAAAATTAACGATGGTCTTATTCTACGAATTCATCTTTCTGGATTTTGTGATTTAAATGACAACTAAAATATTTGATTGTGTTTTTTAAGTTAATTATGGTTTTATTCAACAAAATCCAATTTTTAGGATTTGGTTATTTTGATGATAATGAAGATATTTGACTATGATTCTGTAGTACTCATTAACTGCACTTTTCAAAAGTGCTTACAAGGGGAACAAAAATCCAAGATACCTTTCTCTCCTGGCGATCATGTGCTACAGGGCGAACAACATTTTCTTTCATTTCATCATACACTCCATCATAATCAAATACTGAGGGGTCCTCTTCCAAAGCTTTCTTGTGCTGCTCCTCAATCTTTGAAAAAGAAAAAGAAGAAGATGAAAAGATAATATTAAAGAATATATAGGGGGGGGGGGGGGGGGGGGGAGAATTAAATTTTAGACAGTTCACTCACATCCTTAAGAGCCTTGTTCTTGCTGGCCTGACGAGAAATCTCTTTCTCAACATCATTGTCGTCCTCATCTTGAAAGCCAATAGGAGTAGGGAGAGGAGGTCTTGTTGGTTGCTTCTTCTTCTGGGATGGTTGAACCCTTAGTTGCAAGCCGTACTTACTCATATCACCTCTTTCTTCCTTTTAGTCTTAAAAACAAGAAAATATAATATAAAGAATGTGATTATGTGAAATACACTCATGCAAGCTTTTTTATCTTTCTAATTGATAGTGCAAAATTACATTAACTCTCTCTAAAACTAGCTTGATCAGTGATATGCATCATACAATTCGTTGAGAGGCTAAGAAGCACGGACACGGATACGGGACACGGATACGACACGACACCGACACGGCAAATCCAAAAAAATTAGGACACAGACACGGCGGGGACACGGCGAATAGTGTGTGTGTGTGTGTGTGTGTGTGTATATGATGTAGTACTTTAAAATTTACGAGTGTTACTATTTTTCATCAACCGCACAATGAAAAAAAAACACAAATCATAACTCATAACTAATAAACTATAAAAGAACAATGTTGCAGAGTTATAAAACCAAATAAAAAACAAGACATTAGAATAATAACTAGTATCATTTAATCATCATTGCAACTTTACGCCAAATACAAAAGCATAGACAGAAAGGACTATTAACATTCATGACTGTTTAACATTCAGGACTTTACTGTTAGTAACATTCACAAAAACCTAAAGGCTAGTCCCCAAAAAAGATACAAAAACAAGTCAGTGTACTATCATCTATTCCCATCCATCATTTGACCTAGGACTTTTACCATTTACAATACCAAAAGGGTAGTACAAAACAAAAAAAAGAACATATCAGCATTCAAAAAAAAAAAAAAAAAAAAATTCCAGAAGTGTCCATGCCGTGTCCGTGTCCGCGTCTGAAAATTCAAAAAAAATAAAAAATTCTAGACACGTTTTTTGGCGTGTCGGACACGGATTCTTCGCCCATTTTGGAGTGTCCATGCTTCCTAGTTGAGAGGCCAAAGTTACTTAAAGTGAGAAATTTAACTTTAAGCAAAGTATTAAAAGTGCAAAGGAAGTCAAAGCTACATTTTAGTGAAGAAGATAGAACGACACATCAAATGTAAGCAAGATAAATTTTAGACAAATCCAGGCAGTGAATACCATGCCTAAGATGTATGAATTACAGGGAGATCATAAGAAGCATATATTTGAGACCCTTCCACAGCCATTTCATAAACCAAAAGGTCCAACAATAAAGAAAGTTATGGATACAAGACATGGATAAGACAAAACAGACACGGTGATACGGCAAATCTTCAAAAATATAAGGCCACAAATGTGTGAAGACAGCTACATATATCATTTATAGAACATAAATTTTAGGCCTGTGATGTTTTAATGAAAAAGTATGCTTGTTGATTAAAGAATATAGACATTACATGTATAAACTAACAAAAGAATTGAGTAATTTTCCAAAAAAAGAAAAAGAAAAAGAAAATGACTCCCCACCTCCCTCTCTCCCACCTCCCACTTTCCCCCCCTCCCCTCTCTCTCTCAACATGGGGATTCAAAGTTAAGCATGATTCAGAGCAATTCATTACACATCTCAAACGTGTCAGAATTTTAAAAAATTAAAGAACAATCAATGGACATGTGTGCAATGAAGCCTATCCATGTCCAACACATGCTGGACACCAATAAGGGCCTCTTAAAGACGTGTCCATGCTTCCTAAATCTTCCCATTTCATCCTAACTTTTCTGCACATAATCACTGTTAGCGCAATGGCATTCCCGGTTGTGTAAACAACCACCACCATGAATAACTTGAATACACCGGAAACCCCCAACAACATCCATTTAGATTATAGGCTATGATTCCAAGTTTTTAAAAAATAAAATAAATGAAAACAGGATGACTTAAATTTTCATTTACATAGGAGATTTGAGGTACGCTCCTTTTTTTTTTTTCCTTGGAAGGCCACTTGGCACACAAAAGCAACGTTAAAGGTGGCTTTTTTCTGATGGATTTTGACTATCAATAACTTGAATAGAAGACACCAAATTATTGTCAATTGGTGCTGCATGGGCAAGAGAGATGAGAAGTCAGTGAATTATCTCCTCTTGCATTGTCCATTGGCAAAAATAGGGATGAGATTTGCTTCTTGCTCTATATGGAGTGAGTTGGGTCATGCCGTTTTCCACAAGGAGTATGATAGATGCTTGGAGAGGGCGTATAGTGGGGAAGCAACTCGAGATGCTTGGAGGGTTGCCCCCCTTTGCTTGTGATGGGGTTTATGGCAGGAGAGGAATAAGAGATCCTTTGAAGGAGAGGAGACACCTATTTGGGCATTCAAATTTTATATGCCAGTCCTTTATTTGTTTGGATACATGGTTGGTGTTGTAAATCTGTGGAGGACTCATGTATTTTTTGGATAGCTTTGAGGTCATAGTGGACCTTTTGGTTTTTGTGCAGTTGTAGTTGGGATGCGCTCCTCTTTTGAGCACCTTTCTATTAATACTTTACTTGTCAAAAAAAAAAAAAAAAAAAAAAAAGGATAACTTAACTTTTGTCTGCCCAAAGAATTCACAGTTAGGGCTATGTTGAAAACCACTGAAACACCAAAAAGAAACCATAACTTTTAGACTTTGAGCTTGAAGTATTCATTCATGTAAGATTCCTATCACAAGTCATAACACATATAGCACATATCCACTTGTCTAAGAAACTAAAAATTAGGATTGTGTTTTGAGGAAACCTCCTAAACGCCTATCTGCACTCAAAATGTCCATTTCTACACTGAGCTCTGGTTAATGATCTCCTAGGCATAAAAAATTAATTGTAACATCATCCAAAAGAATACTCAAAAATTGACACAGTTCACCCAAAAAAAGAAACAGGAAAAAAAGGAATAGTTGCGGTATACCAATGACAAACACTCCTTTTCTCCATACTCGGGACTGGTTATGCAAAAGAAAAAATTACACACAAAAAAGAAAAGAAAACATGACTGAACCAAGATTAGAAACCAAAAGCAAAACCCAAAAAATTGCCAACATCAAGAGATAAATAGTTTTACATACAGACTCGGGACTGGTTATGCAAAAGATAAAATTACACACAAAAAAGAAAATTAAACATGACTGAACCAAGATTAGAAACCAAAAGCAAAATCCAAAAAATTGCCAACATCAAGAGATAAATAATTTTATATAAATCTATACAGAAACGTTGTCTTAGTTACTATTTTTTTTTATCAAAAAATGACCAACACATATCAGTATCATCATTGACTAAAGGGACCTAAGATATGCTCCCTCTCTTCTCCTGGCATTTATTGCTACTACAAGAGTCAACCTTATATTAATTCATCTACTTTCTGCACTCCAACTTTTGTCCCATCGAGCAAACTGAACTGAGTTTTATTAATTTCATTTTCTTCATAGCCCCCATACACTCAATGGTAAAAGGATTGATTCTGTTCTCTTTTTTTTTTTTTCTTTTTCTTTTTTTGTCACGTTTGATTTTAGCTAAATGTTACCTTTGTGTAATTAGTAACTCTTTTTGTTTAATTTTGGATCTGTTTAAATTAGCCTACTCTATAAGTAAATTGTCTTGGGCCCTTGTTCTTTGAATGATACAAACAATCTTACCTATCAGCAAAGAAAAAACTGATACTAAGAAGAACCAAAAATCCCTTTGTGAAGAGGTGAATGAAAGTAACATATACAAATTAATTTTAGCATGATCGCTAAAGAATAACAATGACCAGTATTGGAATACAATCTCTCTCCAATTGCATCAAAATATCCCAGATTTTCCCTTCCTAATCCAAATCTTTCATCGTCTAATTAGAATGAAACTTAAAATAACACATATACACAATATTGAACTTTTTATATATGTATGCGTTTTTTATATAGAGAGAGCTAAGGCATACCTAGAGGATTTGACGGTGCGATTGAGCTTAAATGATTTGATGAAGTGATGAGCAAAGTTGATGATGGTTACAAGAAGCTTGAAAACAAACATGTCTGAGTCAGTTTTGAAGAAGCAATTGTATAGACAGTGTACTACAATTATAAAAAATTTACATTAATCAACTAATTCTAATACAATTGGTAAAGAATAAAACCCTAATTGGCATGCAATCCCTCTCCTTTTGCATAAACATATCCCAAATAGGTTGGATACATATATATATATATATATATATACCGTGTGTGTGTATATGTAATGCGATATAGAGAGAGAAGAAACAAGCGCAGACACAAACCGTTGGAGAGTGGGTGTGACAGGCGCGGAAGAAGCTGAATCGGTAGCGCAGAGGAAAATGATAGGTGTATATCGTTGGAAACTCGGAGCAGTACCTTCTCTTGTGGTTCCAAAAAAAAACCCAAACACGATGCCAAATAATTCACCCTCCTATACCATTGTGGAAAAATGGTTAGTACCCGCCCGTATCCACCCACTTTTAAATGGATTTGCATGAACCATATTAGAACACCGGTAAAAACGGATTGGATAAATTTAAACCAGTTAAATTGCTAGTCAAAACAGGTTAGATATGGTTGAGCATATTCAATTCATATTTTATAGAATTTCAGATGTACGATTTAAAAAATTCTTAATAAAAGATTGCAGAATATAGATGGATAGGGTTGGCCCTGAGATTCTAATTATTTCGAGAAGGCTTAGGCGAACTTTTAAATGTGAGGCCCTTAAATTTTACACGTAAAAAAAAAAAAATTATAAGAGTGCGAAATTTTCAAATTATATAGCTAATATAATTGTGTGTCTGTATATTGTGCGAAATTTTCACAGGCATGAGCCGCACGAAATAAAAAATAAAAAGAACAGTTCGTTTATTAGAGAACAGAAAATTGCAGTTTCGTTTACATTTATTCTTTATATAGCAAATAAAATTTGAGATGATAAAAATACGTGGAGATGAGGTGACTATATATATTATAGGAGGCTGAACTTGTAGTACTGAAGAAGTAGTGGGACTTTTAGGTAATATGTGGCATCCACTGTCATGTATAGATTTGTGTTTCACTCTGTGTATTAGTTATACTAACACTTTTAAAATTTTGAGTAAATAAAGAAATAAATAGACAAAAAAAATAGTTTAAAATATTTTTATTTACTAAAATATTTTATTAAATTTTCAAAAATTTTAGTAAATAAATATAGAATTAGACTAAAAAAATAGTTTAAAATTTTTTTTCCCCAAAAAAAAAAACAAGAAAAAACAAAAAAAAAAAAAGAGAGCAGAAAAAAAAAGACATTAGGGTTGACCCAACCCATATTCAACCATTGTGAATGGATTGACTATGACTTCCAACCATATTTGACCCACACTAAACCCGACCCAACGTGCCCATTTGCTATCTCTAAATACCAAATTACCAATAATACTAAAATAGGCTCCATTAATTCAACGCCGATTTTTTTTTTTTAATTTATATAAGACTTTGATCTAATTTCGTAAGGCTCCATTTGGATGGAATGATTTAGAGGGATTCACAAAGAGAAAAAAATGAATAGTGTGAAGTGTGTTTGAGTTATCTTAAATGAAGAAAAAATAAATGATAGGGAAAGATTTGGAGATGATACGGAGAGATTTGGAAAAATAGCTATCCCTTTAAATCTCTCCCATGTTATAATCCCAAAAATAGAAAAATTTAGTTATAAAGGATTTTGTTTAAGTAATATATTTGATTAATAAACTTATTATGATCTCGTTTTATAATAGGGTATGATAATAATTTGATTGTTGTAATTTTATTTTTTTTCTCTCTAATCTTTATTTTTTTTTTTCTTTTCTTTTATCTCATAGTTAAATATTATTTTTTTTCAAATTATTGCCGGTCTCTTTTGATCAGATCCAAAAAAAAATTCTTTTAACATGATTCAAAAATATAAACAAAAAGTAACGCAAAAAAGCTATCTATTTTGACTAAATTATTTCTTTTGATTGGAGAAAAAAAAAAATTTCTATGCAAAATAAGTTATCTCTTGTGACACGACCCAAAAAAAGTATGGTATAGAAAAATAATAATAATAAAAAAAATCAAAGAAAATAACTATCTCTGTTGAAAAAAATAGCCAAGTGTGCCCACATTTGGAAGAGCCCGAACAAGTAGTGTGTTTCTAATTGAATAAGTGTGTTTTTTTTTTTTTTTAGAATCTCATTCAATCTGTCAACTATCCAAAAGTCAACATATTGTTAGAAATAGTGACCTAAACACGTAGTACTTAATATAATATTTGAAAGAGAATAAAATAGAAAAAAATATTTTAATTTTATTTTATTAAAAATGGATAAAATACTATATAGCCTTCGAAATATACAAGTAACAATTATATGTAAATAAAAATTAACACCCTACTAACATAACATTTAGTAGATATAACCTTCATTAACATGACCATTACTAATTATAACTTTCATGTCTCCATAACTATAATAAAAACTCACATAAACTTAAAATTAAATACCAAATAAAAAACATCATGATTTTCGAAGACATTAAAAATTATAATCAAGTTTAATTTTTAACACCCCACCTCTTAAACTCGATTTTTTTCAACTCCAAGTAAACTCCGTAACTTGTGAAATTCTACAAACTTGAGGGGCTTGGTGAAAATATCTACAACTTGATCTTGTGACTTGATGAACTTGAGTTCCAACTCCTTCTTGGTTATGCATTCTCTAATTAAATGAAATCTTGTATCAATATACTTGTTTCATTCATGAAACACCGGATTCTTGACCAAAGCAATTAATGATTTGTTGTCCACAAAAATCTCCGTTGACTCTTTTTGTAGCATTTATAATTCCTTCAACAAATTCCTCAACCAATTTGCTTAACGAACACATGAAGTGGCTGCAACAAATTTCGCTTCAAAAGTTGAGAGGGTAACAATGGGTTGCTTGTAAAGCAGTATTTTCCATGAAAAAACAATAGTCATAAGTACTTTTTCTATCTTCCCAATCTTCGACCAAATCGCTATCACAATAACTCACAAGATTTAAATCATTACAAAATGAATACAATAACCCAAAATCATGCGTACCTTTGATGTAACAAATAATCCTCTTAGCCGCCTTGAAATGAGTTATGGTGGATCTTTCCGTAAACCGACTAACAAACCCAACTGCAAATAATATGTCTGGCCTTTTGCATGTTAAGTATCTCAAACTTTCAACAAGACTTTTGAAAAATGTTGGATCCGCCATTTTTTCATCTTCATTTCTTGACAAATTAATTCCAACTTCTATGGCGTGTTTATCAATTTACAATATTTCATCTTGAATTTCTTAAGAATTGCCTTAGCGTAACCTTCTTGGTGAATGAAAATTCCATCATTTATTTCCTTAACCTCAATACCAAGATAATAAGCCATGATACCAATGTCCGTCGTCTCATGTTTCAATTGAATTTAAGAGAAGTAAAGCCATGCAAGAAATAAGGATATAAAAACTCAACTAGAGCCATAATCAAACATCATAACACTGTCAAAAAGCAAACATAGTTGTATATGTATAATACCCATCTTTCTTTTTTTCTTTTCTTTTTTTTTTTTCTTTTTTTTTTTTCACTAAATCAATGTTCTTGAAATTTTATTGTTAAAACTTTAGGATTTTTTTCTCATCAACAAGTTAAACTTCAAAATTCAAAGACATTCCAAATTAATTCTTAAAAATCACACTAAGGAAAAAAAATAAAAAAATCAAATTAAACTCAAAGCACACAATACAAAAAGAAAAATAAATGAAAAAATTATCATTACCATTAGCATCGATGTAGTTAAATTGCTCACGAGGCTTTGATAGTTCTTCCATACTTTGTATGCAAACAATATCAATTACTTTGTTCAACTCTAGCCTTTCCATTGTTGCATACAAAAATCAATATTAAACCTCAAGGAGAGAGAAGATAACTAATACAAAGTACATAAAGAATTGAGAGAGACTGGAAGTGACCTAAAACGTTGACTGGGGAGAGAGAGGAAGATTGAGATATATTTTCATAATTGAAAGGGTAATTGTGGTATTTAAAAAAAATAATTATTAATTTATAAAATTAATGATGGAAGTGTCATTTCCTTTTAAAAGTGTAAAAATTGGCTTAGTGCTTTTATAACTAAAGAAATAGATGAAGGGAAGGAAGTGTCCAGGGTTATTTTGATTAAATTAATTGGAAAGGATAAAATGATGCAAATACAATTTTTGTCAATAATAATAATAATAAATAAATTTTTGAAAGCACTGCCAGGTCTAATATATATTTTTTAATTAAAAGTTTGGTGATAGAAAAGTATAAATTCAAATATTATTACTCAAGCAAGAAAAAAAATTCTTTTACTTAAAATTTTCAAAATTGGGCAAATTACATAAAAGCTCGACTTAGTTGGTGGAGGTATTTTTGTCAAAAATACAAAAAGCAACCCCTGGTCCCCTGGTTAGTTTATTTTTTAAATGGTAAAGGGGAAGACAAGTTAAATGCACTTTATCCTAATTATTTATTTTTTTATTCAAAATTTTGATTTTATAATATACAAGTCGTCAAATGGAGTTATTTTTTTAATACAATAATTTGTAATATTTAGTATTTTTCATAAATAAAAAAAGTTATACACACACTTTTATAAACAAAAATGCGTAAATACTCTATTTGAATGGTCCTTGTTTTCAACTTTAAGTTGACAATAAGTATATAATCATAATCTAATATTTTGTGTTTTCTTCTCTTAAAGACATTGTCATCCCACATACTCAATTATCTACTTATTTATTTATTTTTGTTGGGTAAAAAAATTAAAAAACATTTCACAAATTACCACTGCGAACTTTAATTTTTTTATCTTCTCTTTAAAAAATGAGAGACTATACCATTAACCTAATAATCCATTAATCGTGATTATTGTGGTTTAAAACTTACATATATCTTCCATGTCCTCCATTCAAGATAGTGGGACCTACTAGGGAGTATGGGAAATGAGATTAGCATAGAACCTATGTGGTTGGGTTTTAGATACACGGAAAGTAAGATTTATAATTCAGTGACAAAATATATAAAAACGAAAATGTTGTTTGGTCACTACAAAGCAATAAAAAAGTGACCCATGATTTCATTTAAATCATTATGACCCTATCACATTATTTTTAGAAAATAAATTATATATTTATTATGACAGGCAATTGTCGCAAGACTCGTTACTAAAAATAAAATAAAAAATACAAAAAAACTTCTTATGAAGTTTACAAGTAATAACGAGTTATACTAAATATTTTCGACTCTTTTAACACCGAATAGGAGAGATGAGAAGATATAAGCTCCACAGCACATTATCTGTATTGAGAATTGAGGCCCATATTATTGTTCTTATTTTCAAGTTTGATAACTAAATTATAATTTTAGATTTTAGTGACCATCATCATTACAAAGGGATAAAAAGTGTCAATTATTTTTACTTTAATTATAATATATGATTTTATCTTGGAAGGAGACTATGGATAGGCTATTTTTTGTACTTGTAATTTTTTTTTTTAATTTTGCAGAGTAGGGGAAGAAGAACTCGAATTAAAGAATTGGACGTTCTACCAACTAGATCACTGAAAAATATATCATTTTAAGGTTAAATCTCTACATGGTTTAATTTAGTATGGTTAGAAGGTTTATTTATTTATTTATTTTTTATTTTTATCTATTATTATTATTATTATTATTTTACAAGGTAAGAAGGGTTATCAGTTAGATTAGTAGATACAGAAAGTTGAAACCTGCCACTCAAAAATTCACTAGAGGCACTAACCCACTAGTTTACCGAGACATCTGTAGTACGGTTAGAAGTTGAGTTAGAAACTTACAACTATACGTACGATTATAAAAAAATAAAATTTTATGAATATTGAACAAAAATTCAATTTTCATGCTCATTTACATTAGTGGCTTTAATACCATGTTGATTATCAAAGATAGAGAGACAGATATATATGAAATATAGAGATTCTGTATATTAAAGTATATGTAAAACATGTATAAGGAGAGAGAAATATAGGTTACAGATCACCAATAGCTATACAACAATACGAACAGCTATTCGCGTAAAGCATCACTATTCATACATTTTGCTGAAATGCATTTAGTTAGATGTGATCCTGTGCTGCTAAATTTTGCAAAAGATTTTTGTATTAATTTTTGAAAAAAAACAATTACGGTAACAATTTAGACAACGGTTATAGTATAATGTAAGCATGGTAACAATCTAAACAACGGCTATAATATAATATAATTATGTTAACAGGCAAATCAATTTTATTAAAACAAGTGAAGATTGATTGATTTAAGTTTTGTGTAAAACACTCAGAACTAAAATATGTTCAAGAGCAAACAATTTAAAAAAAAAACAAAAGGTGAAAAATTTTCATTTTAGTAAAAGTCTCTGCAGAATGGACTTTTACTATTTGATACTATTTACCGGGATTGTTCTGAAATTCGAATGATTTTAATAAAATTTGTTGTAATTTGTAACTTTTATAAAGATTAAAGGCCTTCTCAGAATAAAACAATTATTTTTTTCGATATCTAAAATAAAAACAAAATTTAATACAATGAGAAAGCATTGAATTTCAATTTTATGCTGTCGTGGCATTGTTTAGAACAGATATACAAAGATCAACTAGTGTATCGTACATGCAAGAAACATTTTTATTTTATCTATAATAAAATTAATTAGTTGTACAAACATAAATATATCAATATGTTATAAATATATATATATATATATATAAATATAAATAGATTTGTATTTTATATATATTAATATTAATTAGTACACATATAAGTGCTTCCCTCCACATCTATATCCGAACCAAATTCCCTCCTTCCTTCGTCTCTTCCCTCGTTTTCTGCTCTCTTTCTCTCTCTTCCCGCTTTTTCAATCCTCCTCTCTTCTCTCTCTCTCTCTCTATACACTTCCCGAATCAGATCTCACTCTTTGAATCTTCCCCAATTCCATCGAATCCATTCCACTCCACAATTTCAGAGATTCATCAAATCCAATCTCTCTCTTTTTCTCAAACCCCTAGAACTCCAAAAAGGGGCTCGATTGTTTTCTTCGTCGTTTTAGTGGAAAAGTTGTGATTTTTTCGCGGTATCGATTCACATGTCGAGTTCGCGAGCTTCGAATCAGTCGGCCGAGCAGATCATGCAACATCAGCAGCCTCTCAAGCGGCAGCTTCCGTTCACGGCCATGAAACCGCCGTTTGTGGCGTCGCCGGGGGACTACCACCGCTTCTCCTCGTCGGAGGCAGACCGTCGGCCTCACGAGTCCGAAGCTATTGTCGTTAAATCTCCTGTGAGTATTTGCATTTGACTGTGACTGTGTGCGAGTACTGAATTTTAAGTCTTCTTTTTGTATTAGGAGAATTTTATATTGGGATCTGCTTATTTTTGTGCTTTTGTGGGCTTCGATTTGTTGAAATAGATGATCCATGGTTTTAAGTTGTTTAATTATTTGGTTGATCAGTTACTGACTTACATTTTGATGTGCCCGAGGTCTTCAATTGCGGTAGTATTTGTGTTTGATTGTGTGCTTGTGCATACTCTTATTGGTGATTATTTCTTTCTTTCTAACTTACGACTGCTAAAGAAATAAACTTTTGTGTGTCCCCTAATGTTATTCAGACAGAAGTTTAGTGGTTTTTTATTAGGATCACAATTCTGCTTGTAATATTGACTAATATGGTAATTGGGACTATGTAATCCCTCTATGCTGATTAGAATAACACATTAACTATTGCAAGCTATCTTTAGCCCACTCTTGAAACTTTATGTACCTCTTTCTAAGTTTAAGCCACCCTTCATAGAGATTGGAGAGTAATAACTAAACATTCAGTGTCTAAATATTATGTAAGTTGTATTTAGTGGAAAATTTAATTTTGGCAGGCATAAGCGAAACGTGTGCTTGTTTCTTCCATTGACATCGAAATATGACATAATAATCAAATATGATAAAAATGCGGAAATAACTTTCTTCAGTTATGATGGATACTGCATAAAGATTTAAGAGAGATTAATAAAATGTCTCTTTGTTCATCAAGATGGTAGCAATTATACATCAATACTACGTAACACAGTTTATTGCCCAAGACTCAAGTAATGTTATCAATATAGAGAAAGCCTTTGCTTATGGAGAGCTGATGAGTCTCAAATAATATATCGCCTGTCAGCCGATTCTATTGCCCGTTGGTTAGTAAAACATTTCCAGTACATGATCAAGATTTGAGACATATATGATGAAATTGCAATTAGTGCAAAAATTATTTTGTATAGGGAAGAAGTGAGTTAAATTATAGCTAGCTTGCGGCCTGCAATTGGGTTGGGTCTGAGCCCCATTTTTTTGTGCCGGTTGTAAATGAATTGATCAAGTGTTTTAATAACCATCTATTCTAAAATCTTAAGCTGTTAGATGGCTGCAACTTTAATATTTAAATCCTTCAACAGTTCGCCGGCAATATAGGTTTGATTGATGAGACGTGAGGGAAAAGGGTAAGTTCAAACTACGGGGAGGTGCTTTATCAAGTGTTTTAATAACCATCTATTCTAAAATCTTAAGCTGTTAGATGGCTGCAACTTTAATATTTAAATCCTTCAACAGTTCGCCGGCAATATAGGTTTGATTGATGAGACGTGAGGGAAAAGGGTAAGTTCAAACTACGGGGAGGTGCTTTGTAACACAAACAATTAGAATCAACCAAACTAGTATTAATCTCTTAAATGTGGTTCATTAATAATAATTTAAAATAGGAAAAATTCAATTTTACGGCAATCAACTTGTATTGTGGCCTTATGTGATTCAAATTGTGTTCCAAAAGTTGGTTCCTCTTCATTCCAGAACTTAAAATTTTTAAACCAAAAATTTATTTGTATCTACACCCTTATTTTCCTCTTTTGCAAGCCGGTGTTGACAGTATAATAGGAATCTATTATATCCAAGTTTTTAGGCAAATAGGGGGACTGATTGTGGTACATCATTGACAAATAAAAGTTGACGTCTAGTGATTCTGGCCTAACATTTGCTCAACGCTATGAAAGTCTCATCACCCCTTACCACATTCCAGTGTAAGTGCTGTATTACATCCCATTCTTGTTTTTAGAATCAAAGTGGCCCATGAACAATGTTCCTTGTAGAAGTAGACTCTTTGTCATTGATTAAAAATTAAGATTGACAACTTATTTATTTATTTATTTTAGATTCAATTATATGTCAAAAGGGAGGAATGCAAGGATGATGATTTTCATAAGATTTTGTGTAATAAAAAAAAATAGAAATTCAAATCACATAATTGAGTCTTTAATAGGGGCAATAGAGGAAAAGACCAATCATATTTAGGAAATTTAAATCACATAATTAAGTCTTTGATAGGTACATATAGAGGAAAAGACCATTCTTTGTTATGAAATACTTGGCCACCAAGAAACTTTTTGTTGATAAAATGAGCATAGCTGAGATGGAGAGGAAAGAGAAGAAAAAAACCACTGAGCGTTATCTCCTCCATCTCACAAAGAGAATGTTGAGGGTTTGAGTCCCAATCAGCACAATGTAAGTTTTTGTCTTACCTATCAAGAAACAATAAAATAGATAAAGAGGTAGATACGGCACATGACACACTTTATATAAATTACTTGAAGCTTAACTGAAGATTCGTCAAAAGGGATTCTAATGGCATATAAACTCAGGAACTCTTAGCTTTGATATGTTTTAATTTAACAATTTTACCTTTTTGAGTTTATTGTAGTTAAATTCTAATTTCTTTTTTCATGGTAAGAGTCTTGCCGTTTATCTATACTTTATAATAAAAGAGAGAGATGTCTTTAACTTTCATTGGATGCAAATTCCCTTTGTTAAATTGTAATCCATCCCCCTAAAAAAAAGCACCAAATATATACTCAATTTGGATCCAGGACACTGGGTTCATAGTAGACCTGTGATGTCATTGGTTACAATGTAAAAAATCTAATGACCTTTGGTTTAGGGAGACGGAGAGATTGGTTTTGTGTGCATCTGATCCAAGGTCTCCATGGCCTGTGACTTCCTTTCATTTCAAAAAAGAAGACGCAAGAGTGGAAAGGCCAGTACAAAGCAAGAAGGAATGAAAGCAAAAAGATGCACGCTAGTTACTAGTACCCCGACAGCTGCCACCTGAAGAGTCTTCTTGAAGCGCTCACTGTCGCTTTCTTTTGTGCCTCGGCAGAGGGGGTTATTCAACTCTTTTTAGGATAACAAGGATTTATATGAGAAGTTCAAGTTTTAACTCTTTGAGGGAATAGTTCTGTCTTCGACATTAAAGTCGGTTAGTTGATCTAGATGTTGCCCAAACGTGCTTTGAGGTGATAGGAGCAGATGCAGTGAACAAGGGTCTTATTTACCATTTATAGGTGGTAATTGTTAGGCTGTCTGGAGGTGTTAAGGGATGTTGGTTGTTGGGTTTGTGAATGGTATAAGCCCATCAATGGAGATGGATTTGCTAAGTAATGAGGTGTTGCGGTGGAAGAGTTACCCTGTTCTCATGTTTAAGTGGAGATCAATGGAGATGGATTTCAGATTCACTTATAGGTGTGCTACTTCAGATTCAATAGAATCATTAAACAAGGGGCAACTTTATCAGTGGTGGCCATGGAGATCTTACAAAGGGATTTGGTGTGGGTGTTGCAGATGGATTTTTAAAAATGAGAGGTGGATCCGGCACATGACATGGATTAATCTGCTAGATAGATTAGGGTATATATATATATATATATTGAGAGAGAGAGAGAGATGGGTTAGGGTTTACTTCTAGTAACTCACAATGTTCCCGTTCTAACATTATTTTTACAAGAACATCAAAATAAAAAAATAAAAAAAAAGCAAAAAAGGTTTAGTGTTCTCCTATTTCTTTAATATGTTTTTTGTTCGGTCCTTTTACATAACATATTTTAGAGAAAGATATGACTTAGGACCATTTCTTAAGAGTATGGGAAGAAGAAAATAGATTGTTAATATGAAGTTATCTTTCTTATATCCCTTTCTGTTTGAGTGGTAGAAAAGAATCCACAGTTCCACACCGTAGATCACATGCATTTACAAAAATACTTGATTTCTTAAAAATCACCCAAGTCAAATAGGTTGTAAAGGCATATATTTCTGTTCTTTTCTTTTCTTCTACAACAATTTTAAATTTTTTTCATAATTGCAAGCACTTGAATAATTTATTCTAAAAAGCATATATGCATCACCAAATTGTTGTTCAGAGGCGTTTAAGATGATATAAGAGGGTTAATTAAAAAGTATCATTGCAACTATTATTAATAATTTGGCAAATGATTATTAGAGTTTTTCATGGCCTCTCAACTCTGATTTTTGGCATTTCTTTTGCAATAGTCTTTAGATGGCCAATAAGCAATGAATCTGTGTATTGTTTTCACCTAGTCAATGGTAATCATAACTTTAGCTCTTATCTTTTATCTCCATTCTCATTCTTATGTCAAATCAACCTACTTTAGCAAGCACGAAAGATGCTGAGGATAAGCTTCTGATAGGTGCAATTAGGTGATTATATGAAAGATTATTTGTATGGTATTTGTTCTAAAGAGAAATTGTACTTTGCTCTTTTTATGTGTTTGCCATCTTAAAAGATATTCCACTACCGATTTTTTAGCTTGCTGTAATTGGTCTCATTTATCACTGAAAATTAAATGGTTATTATTATTTTTTTTTGGGCCAAAATTTGTCCATTGAGTTTCATCTTAATGTAGTAATTATGACGAAGGCACCCTCAAATGATGATTTTTGGTATGCTGTGATTGGTTGAGATGCCTGAATTATGATATGACTTTGAAAAAATTACAATACATTATTATCATCTTTTAAGGACAATTTATTTTGTCAAATTATTTGACAGTACTTTATATATATGTGTGTATACTTTGAATTTCTTTTTAAGTTACACTGTGAATACATTTTTTTTCACACAGAGGGCATGTGTGCCCTAGACAAGGAATATTGAATGGAATACCTGATTAGTTAACTGATAACTAGCTCACTTTTAAGGTATGTGAATTCAAAACCAGTTTAGTTGGTTTATCTAAGATAATATTCGAAAGGGTGAAGGGCTTAGTTGCTTCCAATTATTTCATTGTGGCAAATGGTCAGGTAATATGGATTGCTTGAATTGATGCTCAAATTTTATAATTTACCTTCCTTAGCAAAATAATATTTGTTAACTAACTTTTATGTTTTTAAGCGTAGAAATGGCTATAAATTCAAGAAGAACGATACAACATAAGCTCAAACCTAAACCATTATTAGTTGGTGAG